TTATTTTCTTCAAGGTCATTCCACACTGAGAGTTTGTTGTACTGTATTGGGCTTATGAGTGGTGTCATTTTGTTTCATTTTACCTAAATATGGAAACCGAACTTAGGTAGTCGTAAGCCATGTTCTAACTGTACTGCGTTTTTCTAAGAGCTACTGAAAGTAAGTTTATGCCTAAACTGTACAAGCACGAATATGGCTCCATTTTACGTTATAAATCGTTTTGTGTATACTGCTTACTTAGTTTATTAAACTTATATTTGTACTACATATTCAACCATATTCTTTGCTTTTGTTTTAGTAATCTGGATATGTATACGGAAACTGTATCCTTTAGCATATTAGTTATATGTCTGCTGAATCTTGTGGAATTTAAGGTGTATGTGAAAGTATTTATATATTTGTCCAGCTAATATAATATCACTAGGAATACGATACTAACGGAAATCTAACGCTGGTTTGTATTCTATAAATACAGAGAAACAGCATTATTCATCAGATAACGTTTTCAACACACTTCACCGAGTATAAGTTAACTATGCACCTTAAAATAATACTGATCGTTTATTTGCTTTTTAAAAGTAATGATTCAAACTTCTAATGAACAAGAATCCGAACTATTGGAATTATGTGGTTTCCTTGATATCATTGTTTATTAATTTGCATAGGGAACGTTAATAATACTGTTTCTATGTGTAATTTACATATTAGACAGTTCAACATGATTCAAACGGTTCCTCACACAAATTGAAAAAGTAAAAATATCAGTGTTTGGAAGACCCATTAAACTCAGTGTAGTCTACTACTTCCTCCTTAACCATATCTAAGTTATTAAGTTATCTTGAAATTTTAACGTACTTAGAAATCAAGAAATTATTTGCCAATCAGAGGACAGTAGGTTTTTTGGAAGACACATTTGGAACACAGTTTACGTTGAAAAGTTAGTGGTGTTTATTTGCAGTTATAGTGTGTTAAAAAACGACTTTTGTTACATAAAAGGATAAAGGTTCACTAAAATTACAATTAAAATAGAAAAATCTTTAAGTTGAACAATTGAAACCAATTTCTTCACTTAGCCCAATTATTATCAAAGCACTTGGACCGTAACCACTATTTCTGAATGGGCCTCTTAGTTGCTGTATTTTACACAATTATCATTAGAGTAAAACTATATTGTTTATTAACGATTTTGAATATGTACATCGTGTCTCTCGTGTGCTTCGTGTCCAGTAGGTGGCAAGCGAACGAACTAAAAAAACTTGTTTTCCCTCTAAGTTGTATATTATTTAGAATACGCTCAATAGACCATTATGAAATTGTACTTTCTTTAACTTAGTGGTACTGTTACACTTCTAATGGCAATAACAGTATAGTATCGGATTTTATCTGCATTATTTGGCAAAATGGCCAGAGTATATGCGAGTCCTAGAATCACCCACACTAACCTGTTTTGAAAGAAATTCGACGTGTCTTTCGGATATTCCACACACAGGTGATTCACAAAGCCCATCTCCCAAGGTATTATCAATACCATCTACGTGTCAACGACTTATGGGCTATATGATGGCGAAGTCAGAAGGTCATGGAGTGGACTGGCATGGTCATGTCACAGCGCTGTCGGTGGCTCCTGAGTATCGTCGTTTGAGATTAGCTACTCAACTAATGCTAGAGTTAGAAGAAACTTCCGAACGGTAAGGACGTTTAGAAAATAAACTGGATCTCAAGATTGGTATGGTCCAAATATTTCTGAAAAAGCTGTCGTTAATACCCTGGTTTTTTAAATAAATTACGTATACCTAAAGTTTACGGCTGTGAAAGATTTACTTGGTTATAAACTAGATGTCGCTACTAACCTGGTGTTTTATTAAGAAAACAGACTCCTTTGTTTAAGTTCCTTCTAGTTTCTTTTTATGTAACACAACAGTCTACTAGTCAGTATACATTTAGAAACTTTTATGTTGTATAGGCGCGTAGTGTTAAAAGAAAAGACACAGTAGACTGAAGCATCGCATCTGATTTTATACACCAGATTACTATGTACTCAACATGGAAAAACTTATTTATTCTGACGGTCAAATTGCAGAGTTGATTGGTGGAATTCAGTCAACACTAAAAAATACATTACATGATGCTTGCTCTGCAGTGATTGAACATTGTGATAAAAGGGCCCCCAAATGCCCTGGTACGGCCGAGAGTAAGGAGAGTCCGCTCTCCCTCTTGAAATGCCCTCACATGGCCACGCGTATATAGCCTCTGCCAGGGATGTCCTACTCACTGCCTTCTTATGGCGGGTGTTGTTTATGAAATCGAGAGGACGAAAAGCGAATGTTCGGTGCTTTAACCGGGTTGGTGGATACAGAGGGTTCACCTAGGGGAGTTGGAAAACCCTGGTTCTAAACCAATGGTGCACACAGGCTCCAGTACCCTAAGGGAACAAATGGCGTATGAACCAATTGTTGGTCACCGGCTACCATGAGACTGCATCTCCTTACGATGCTCCACTGCATTGTGGATCAGACCTTTAGGTCGAAGGCTCCGGGTGTGGCCCCCTAAGAAAATCACCTGCTCCGGCTTAGGCACCCGGGTAGTATCACAGCCCTCACACAGATCAAATGAGATTTGTGTGGCGCATATGTATCTGGTACCTCCTTGTACCAATATTTATGTGTTCAAATAATATGATAAAAGGACTTCACGATTTAAGTGTACAGAGGACTAATCCATGGTTTTTCTAGCTACATTACGGAACATAATTGAAATCTTTTCATTACGATCGTGTTGCAACAATATGTTGAGAACAACTATCCACTTCATAAGTCATTGCCGTGAACCTATAATGACCACCCTAACAATTTCGTCTTGTCATTTAACAATTATTGGAAATTAAATTCTAGGTTGACTGTGTATTAATTTTGTTCAGTACATTTTAAATTTCTCAACCAGAGACATTAACACAGATTACATATAGAGTGGCCTAGTCGCCACAAAGTATTATTGTAGTTGTAAACTGAGACTGTCTTATGGATTCTGAACTCAAAATAAAACTTGTTAACTTGGCTTGTCCAACTAAAAATAATAGGAGAAATCTGCTTAGTTTTGATGAGTATGCGCTCCTCGTGGTTTCTCTTATCTTCGTGAAGTCTAGTTTTTATTTAGATAAAAATTACCTCTGGTCAAGTCTGCGAGATATAGTTGTTTTGTAACTAACCTACTCCAAGGTTGTTCTCTTATGACGAGGATCTAACTTCTTACTCACGAGTTTGAAGGTTTTATTTATGTTTAAGGAAATATCTGACTCGATATCACACGGTAGAGTGTTGGCTTCCAACCTAGAAATTCAACTCTATGTATATAATGTGCTACCACTCAGACTTGCTACTACAATGTGGTTTTACGAAATATAAAGATTATTGAGAAACTTCAAGTTTTCATTTAATATGCTGTTTTACGGTCACACTAAGCGAGTCGATCACTTTAAGACTCGGATAACAGTGATATCAAATAAAAAGCCTAGGAGAACAACTCCGCTTTGAAATCCAATCGCACTAAAGAATGAATATAGCTCCTAGAGTGTGGGGAAATAAATTTAGAAGAATAATACTCGAAACAGTTATTATAACGTCTAACAACCGCACTAGTGCAAAGATTCATAATAAATAAGCCATAAGGCTCATTCCTATAAGTTTTACGTCGCTATTAAACTGAATCTCCCAATTCTTCTCTTTCCTTTAGGAAACGATGTTACTTTGTTGATCTATTCGTACGTGCATCTAATAAACTGGGCATAGATATTTATAGTAAATTGGGATATATTATATACCGCAGAGTCTTAAATTACTACTGGGGTTCCGTTGAAGATGAAGATGCTTTCGGTAAGTGTCAAACTATTTAGGATTCTTCATAAAGTTATGTATATAAAGCGTCAGATGACTAGATAGTTAGCTCAAGTTATTCACATGTCTATCAATGCGACAAAAACTCAACTAGTATTCCAAAATATACAGTCATAGTACTAGATGATGTTTCTCAATTTTACCGCACAACTTGTTATTTACCTTAGAGGAGGTTATGCATATAATCAAGTATCTTTGGATATGTTTTCGCTATAAGCAAGTAAGGTTACAAGTCCATTTCTAAATAAAAATCCACACTTCTTGTGTTTTACTTTTGATAACCAAAAGGCAAAACATTATGGCGCTAGTTGAACATACCTTGGATGTGCACAGATCAAGTTAATCAGTTACAAACATGTGTCGGCTCAGGTTCCTACACCTTGCATCAACACAACAAGAAAATAAGATGGGGAATGAAGCTGGGGAACTAATAATATCCATTGCAGTAAAAAAAAATTGTTTAAGAAATGATTGAGATGGGAGAAAAAGTGTGGAATAGAATTATGATAGGTTGTGTTACCATCTTGTCAAAAGTAGTTCCACTAGCAGCGGATCTTTAAGCATCTGTCTTCAGCAACTAAAGTTTCCTAATCGCAAGTTGAATAACCGAATGGATGTCCACAAAGCCATTCGAATATACAGGTGTATCTTTTCATCATTTTAGCAAGAATAAGCGGTTAGAAATATGTATGGGGCTAGTCTTTAGATGGCATAGCTCAGTGACACAGGTACGTCTCTTCATCTTATATTAGACACCATGTTCATTATCCCACAAATCCATATTTCCTCGCATCATATTTCTTAACTACCACCAATACCTACACTACTCAGAGATCTAATTATGCTGATGTGTTGTGGCAACTTGAACCGATGCAGATGTGCCGTGTCCTATAATGTGTGACTGACTGACAAGTTTCATTTTTTAGATGTAAAACTGTTTGAAGACATACTATACGCTTACAGATATGCACCTCAGAAATTCTGGAAAACTCGATGTTGTTTTGGTTTATGAAATAATTTCTGAGATAATCGGCAACTTCCTCACACTGTTAAAATTAAGATTTCAGAACTACTCACCCAAGCACATATCAATTCGAATCTAAAATTTTGCGCTTTTAATCGGTCTCAAATTTAGTGTGCCTGTCCAATAAGATTGGATTGTCCAACTCCTGAATGTTAAGTTTTTGAGTTACCCTTTCCACTAAATGTCCACTTTAAAGCAAATTATTAACCAACTTTACATAATTGTTTGGTGTTTGTGAATATTTATTTAAGTTTGAGTCAGTTTTCGTTACTTATATCATTTATATTTGTTCACTCATTTACTTCTGTACTATACTGAGTGGAACTATCAGTTCCATTATTTCTTACTTTGGGAAACAATGCAAATCTAATATTAAATATAAAGTATACTACATGCAATTCAAAAACAATGTTTTAAGTTATCTTTCCAATTTCCTTAGATATGAGAAAAGCACTTTCAGCGGATGTGCTTAAACGATCTGTCATACCAATGACGAGGCCGATACGTCCAGAAGAATTAGAACATCCATGAACTTACAGATGAAGACTTGTTTATTGGTTCTTCAGTGTGGTTCTATATGTAACATTATTCAGTGGATCCAAGTACTTGTACATGTATCTTTTGTAACAATGATATCTTTTCTCTTCAACTGAAGTTTTGAGGGTCTGCAAAATGACAAGATTGCGCTAGTAGATAACAGGACGTTACGCACAATATAAGAAAAACGAGAAATGCTAATAAGTTGTTTATTAGAAAAAAACTGGTCGCAAAAATAGTTCATAAATGAAAAAAAAACGCTATATTCTCACGTGGGCCTTTCGGATTTCGTTCTACTGAAATTAAGAGAAGGTCATTATATATTCATACGGATATTTTCAGAGAAAATTTAAGACAATAATCAACATTGGTCACAGTTTACTAAGATTTGTCAAAATCACCTAACGTAGTATTTCTTTGTTAGTACGGTAATTATTGTGAACCTTTATCACTCTTTGTTTACACAAATTAAAAATGACAATATAAGACATACATATTTATATATCTTAACAGAAATTCAGGATGAAAATCTACACGGAGTATTACCGGCACGTCTAAGGGACAACAATGAGTTTGTTTGCTTCGAGACCAGTCTTCACTGTATGGAATTGTAATTCCCAAGTAATGCCTCAGTGACCATATAACATTTCACCTACATGAAGTTCGGTCAGTAGTGTCTACTTTGGCAAACGCCAAACTCTCCATTCAAATCTCCTAAAACTTTTTGAATCCGTCCATAGCCTGTCACATGATTCATCAGATAAGTAATTTACTCATCCAAAGTCAAGTATATGAATACAAATGCATAAAAATAGTAAGCATTGGTTGCTAGCTACACATATTTATATCAAAACTGTTTGCTTACTGAATGTAATTCTGCACAATAGTATATTCAAAATGCATAAGATTGTTGATATGTGTAAAGTCTTGCAACATTAATAATTGACCAATCCAACTACAAAACAAACAAACAAAAAGTTATCAGAATAACGTAGAAAACCTTTCCTTTATGTGATATTCTTAACCTATAAGAACAATCAATTTAATTGCCGATCCGCTACAGAAACATACACTTTACTCAATTTAAGGTTGTCTCATATGGAATATTGATTGCCAACACTAATACACTGTGCAAAAAGCGGGGTCGTGGTCGGTTTATGATGTGATACCGTAAAGTGAAAGTTTTTTCCTTCATCACAGCATACTGGTATGTCTCCTAAAGATCACAGGGTTCGTACGTCAGGATGCTGTTTTTTTTAATCCAGAGGCATCCCTAAGGAATTCTTCATGAAATACAAACGTTCTTGGTTAAAAAAAACCTATCTAGGTAATGTTTTGAATTGGTGCTATTATACAGTCTGTGGTTCAGAACTCGGATAGGATTTATAAGTAGGAATGATAATACGTCGTCTAAATGACCCATTATATTTGATTCCCTACAACTTTGCAGTTATGTTATGTGCTTCCCATACACACTTCAGTCTCAGTTTGACCAGTAACTCAGAGCAAAGTACTTGACTAATTTAAATATAAACTAATCAAGAAGTCTTTTTGGTTTGTGTCAAGTTCTAAATATATCATTATACAGTATTCCTTATTACATAATTAATTTATACTTCTCCAACATGTCATAATTTTATTTCTATTGAAGATCTTGTAAGTGCTCAACTGTACCAAGTTTCTCGCCGTTTTAAGGACACTGTAGTAACAGTCAAAGTAAATAGGACAGGAAAATAACCTGAAAAACTAAGTTGTCATCATTTTGCCAGATCTTACTAAACAAAATATAAACTTGGTCGTCCACATGAGCAAATAATTAGCTTCTAAAGAATATGGTAAGTAGTTTGCCGTTAAATTCGAATTCAAGGAGTAAGTTACCAGTATTCGATCATAGGTGTCTCTTCGTGGCATCACTTGGTTATTTTTGAACCATTGAGTAAGTAATGCTTATGTTTGGGTTGTGAATAGGTAATTCAGTAAACATAGCAAGTCAAGCGGTGAGTGGGTAAGTATTCATCAACGGAAGTGGTTGTAAGATGTATGTTCAACCACCACTAACCTTGACAAGCGATGTCTGGTGTAAGAGTAGGTTGGAAGAGAGCTATGGATAGCTGAACCAAGACCATGAGGCTATTGACAATTGGACTGAGCCATCTGGGTTGATAACCATCTGGTTGGGGTCCGCATAATTATCTTAACCAGCGGTTGTAGACTTTGGATGGCATGGCTTAAGTCATTCGTGATGGCGCAGGAACATCCACTATTTATCTCCCCTTAGATCTTAAGTTTCTAAATTCCTCATGAATCTTTTTATTACACTGATCGATGTTTTCTCAAATCGCATCTTGGATGCATTATCTTCTCCATTACATTTAGCGCTTACTACCTTTACCTCTAGGGTTCGCGTTAACAATTTCATCTACGTTGATTGGATATGACAACTTGAACTGGTGTAAACGCGTACCAGGTTCTACGTTGCGTTCGGATGGCTCAGTTGCCTGTGTAATTTCTGTACTTTTGGAAAGTGTGACAACTTGACAAATGCATTCACGTATCCCTATGTTATCTTTGTTGTGAACCAATATTTGGCCAACCAACAATTATACTAAAACGGGGCCTGGAAATTAGGAAAGCCAACTAGTTCATTTATAGCATAGTCTAATTTGTAATATTTGGTAAGACATTCTGTTCCATTTGTAACCTCTTTATGCAAGAACACTATTGTGTTGTGTCCCTTTCAGTCATAAACAACATTGAACCTGGCATACATTTGCATTATTTTATGTCCCACACCACGTCAGTGTAGCGAGACAACATCACTAATACAAATCTTAAAATAGTAACAGTAAAAATATTGGAGGTAGACAATATGGTTCGAGGACGTATTGGCAGGATGTTATAAAATGGTATAGCGACTTGAACTAATGTGCATATATGTCAAGTTCTATGTTGCATATGACTAAGTGAAGTCACAGAACGAAAAATCTAAGCGACAACAAAGAGTGAATGTGTCTGTGCCAATGCGAAAGTTTCTGAACCATTTTGCTTAGTGAACGATTTCACCAAAAAGATATTCTGCAAGTTCTTTATGGCGAATGTAACTCTTAACTTCGATGTGAACGCGATTCATGTCATTAAGCACCTGTAGATCATGTATCAAAATGACTTATTACGAGTTCCAAATTTAAATGCGGCAATGCATATATATATATATATATATATATATATATATATATATATATATATACCATCCAAAGATCTCATTCAAAACATACTAACCAACGAAATGTGTAGTGGGGTTGTATTGGGTTACTGAACTACAGGTTAAAATGCAAATCTACTGCACGATGTGCTAAGTCAAAACGTTTGTTAAAGACTAAGCGTACAAACTTTTGCCCTTTGATCCTTTCGAGAATGACTGTGCACTGTCTGTCTAAAAAAATTAGGTCTGGGAAACTTTTCGAAAACATTAGTATTAAATTAAAACCTACCTATCAGTGAACCGCGGAAATATTGGTGTTATTGCATACTGAACAATTAGGAACCAGATCATCCCGAAAATTCCACCTATTATAATCCCAACTAAAACTTGAGTAGAAGTATGGTACAATAAATAAACCCTTGAAATAATTAAAAACTCTTGGTACCTGCTGTAACAAACTACTGCAGTAACTGATGCACAGACTAAGTAAACAAATGTTGTGAACTGGCGACTGAAGGATCGCTGATTGAGCCTAAATTATCGAATAATCAAAGGCTTCACTAACCTTATGAATAGGAAAAATCCAATGTAAACACAGAAAAAGCCCATGAATTGCGCGTGGTTTGAAGGCATACCTGATGACTTAATACCTAGATGAACTGTATGTACAAAGATTTGTCAACATTATTTATGAACAAACTGGTTGGGAAAGGCCTTGGCTGCTTAATGATGTATTTGAGAAAATAATTACTCAACTCATTGATCAGGCAACCACAAAAATAAAATATCTTGAAATCTAATTGCGAATTCTACAACTGATAATACCGTATGCAAATCTCTTCTCGACATAATAAGGGTTATGATGCTGAAAACTATAAATATTGGCACCATACTGGAATACGCCAGTAGCTTTCCGAAAGCATCAGCTTGAAGTACGTACGAAAACAAATATCTTCTTACCTTCAGGATATTCTACGTAAAAAAGACTCAGAGGCTTCCAGGAAAGCTCAGTAGCCATGTAAAAGAATTTACTGGCCTACGATGGTAGCCTTTCAATCGAATTGCTGTAGCTCGAAGTTCAATTCCCGGGCACTATTTGACGGCTATTATCAGTTTCAGTTTGAAGAGGACAGAAGGCTGGGTGGCCTATGTTAATCTCCCAGTTGATCCAATTTCTTTTTGAAAACGTCAACAGATGAAGCTTTAGACCCATGTTGAAGAAAGGAATTCCGTCCGTTAACGGTCCGATGGGAAAGTTGATACTCAGCTGACAAGTAATTTGTCTTGATCCTGTGAACTAGTTTAGAGTGTCCTCGTTAGTCCTCTGCTTTGTAGGACAAGAAAGATTGTGGCATATCATATGCAAATTTATTACAAAGTAATTTAAACACTTTAACTCCGCCTGTAGTTCTTCTAGGGCTGATGCCATTCCCGAGCCCGGGTGAAGCAGGAGGATTGACATGAAGCCGACAACCCCGTCTCGTAGAAAACAATCTTGCTAGAAAACACTAACCAGAACAAACAATTTAAGCCAATTATAATCTGCCCTGAGATTGGAGGAAGATATATGACACCTCAGGATTAAAGCCGAGATTCTTTGGAAGTCTTAAGGCTGATGATCCTTTTAATGACCAAAGAAACGATTATTATAGACATATGAGATGTCTTGAAAAAGTGCGAGACCGGAAGGACCCGTTAAACAGCTACGAGAATGAGGAGATACAATTTGACAATACACGTTTGGCGCGCTAATTAAAAAGGACAGTGGTGTTTTTCCGGCACACTATGCGTGTTAGGTCACGGGTTTTCGCGCACATGTAACATATTGTCGTGGATTTTGTGTGTCGTTATTTATCAGCTATTAACAGCCTTTTTTCCATCATACGTGGCTTCTCGTAATCTTTGTGATTGGAAGATAGTTTTTATTTCAATTTATAAGCAGTTTGACGTATTTCGTGCTCACCACCTAACTAAATATGTAGTTGGCGTACTATGGTTATTTTTGACAATAAAAAGTCAAACAAGTCAAATCACCATTTTTCTAGTCAAAACTAGATTACAGATTGAGTTTTCATGAAAATAAGCCGTGAAAAGCATTATATATGGTTCACCTCCTTGATTATGTGACGGCAAACATAGATGTCCGTAGTCGTTTATAAAATGTAATCAGAAGGAAGTAATCGTTAAACTAACTATGAATATTATATAAATTGTTTGTATTCAGCCATAAAAAGTTATTCGGACTATAGGTAGCATTGTTTTGTACTGAAGTGACATATTATTGTGTAACGTATCAGAGAAAAACTATGTGAGTAATAATTGACGTTGATAGTCTTTTTTACGGCTTTCTGAACGTATACAGGAACAATGTATAACACCACATTAAATAGGCACAAAATCTTCATAAGTAAAACGATGGATGTCTCTTCTGAGCATGGTGACAAAACCATGTCGTACTTAATACTGATTTATGATGTGTCTGTTGCAGGGTTGACGAATAATTTTCTGTAAACGAAATGCACAATCGCAGACGAAAATGTGAACAAAGTTATGATGCATATTGTCGAGTAATATCTAAATGGTGCTTACCAATTTCTCTTGCTAATACCAGATGTATCCCAAGCAACACAAAAAGGAGAAATAAAGGGGAAATGTCGCTTTTTCGCCTTTACGTCGGTTATTTAGGGGAAATGTCGCTTTTTCCCTCCTACGTCGTGTATTTGGGGGAAATTTGTCGACAATTCTACGTAACGTACAGTGTTTGAATGAACCGCATGCGGAACGGAAGTTTTCATAAACTTCGACAAATTAAGGCACTGCTTAATAAAGAAACAAAAGTATTGTCATAGAAACAATGTACAAGATAAGGAACCAGGCATTGGGTTGATACGCATATAGAGTGACTTCGTTTGTTGTCTAGCTGAAGTGTTCCGACATGCTTGGGAGCCATCACAAAAGACTTACGTGATGCAGGTGAGTGACGTGCTCTCTGGATTTCAGGTTGGTTGGGACTGATTACCTTCTTAAGCCAATAATATGACTTTTTATGATGTCAGTGAGAATGTTCGTAGACGTAGGGCCACTGTGAACTTGTCACGTTCCCTTGGTTGTCACAGAACCACTTATAATCGGAAGTGGAATAAAATGAGAGCTGCTTTAATGAAAAAATATGACTTCCTTTCGCTCAGTGAGTTTGCTAATGAAAGCACTCTAAAAGGTAACTGAGTTCAGCAGTTTTGTTTATTAAATTGGTAGAAGTAAAGACGGAAATCAGTTGTAATGACAGTACTTCAACTGTAACACCATGCACTAGCAACATCAACCAAAGGCTTCCAGACAATAGTGGTATGTATATTAAATTCAAACGCGAATATATATCTTATAGGATCTCCTGAATTGAACTTGTGCTCTCATAAGTTCGTAAATCGGAAACAACTGATGAACGACTTTATGATGTATCTAGTGCCAAATACATCTCTCAGCATAAGAGCTGCTGATCGGGTTTTGTATGGTTTACGATTTCTTATCCCGGACATACCGAAAAGCATAAGAGGTGTCCTGAGGACGTGTCCAAGTATTCAACCAAAGTTTATCGGCAGTGGGGTTTACTACCATCTAGGATTGAAAACCAATCTGCTAAGATACGTTGAGCTTTGGTTGTGTACTACTGATTTTGACTCTTTAAAGTTATATGTCAATATAGATGGACTTTCTATGTCTAGAAGCTCCAATCAACAGTTATGGCCTATACTAGGACGGATCATTGCCCCTAGGTTTAGTGACGTGTTCATGATAGGGATCTACGGAGGGAATAGTAAACCGGCAGAATTCAACGAATTTTCTGCGGACACAATTTCTGAAATAAAAGAAATGACTGACGTGGGTCTTTTTAGTGTTAAGTTTAATAAATGCATATCTATTAGGTTGGCGGCTGTTATATGTGACGCACCTGCTCGTTCTTCTGTTAGGTACACGGTGAATCACAACGGTAAGGCAGGTTGCGATAGGTGTACTGTTCTTGGGAGACGGCTGGAGGGTAAGACGACCTTTCCAAATGGGGTATATACTTTAAGAACAGACGACACCTTCCGTCGTCAGACTCAATCAATTCACCATCAAGGACATTCTATAATGGAAACGCTTTCTATTAATATGATTATAACTTTTCCTCTAGATCCTATGCACATGGTGTACCTTGGTGTTACCAAAAAACTAGCTAATTTATGGATAGATTTAGCACGCCGAAGACTGCGGAACTTTAACTCATGTGCAATTCGGGACATAAATAATTTAATATCTCGTTGTGTGGCAAGTACTCCTGACTTTCCCCGTAAATGCCGTACACTAGACTTTGTATCGGCATGGAAAGCTTCTGAATGTAGATTGTTCCTTCTGTATTTAGGCCCGGTGATTCTTGAAAAAACATTGCCACAACCTTTTTATCTTAATTTTCGGCGTTTAGCGTTATCCATGTATCTGCTTGCACATCCACAATTACATAAAAGTGTTGTAGAAACCGCCAAAATAGATTTACTAAACTTCCTGAATGAATACGAATGGTGTTATGGGTGTGAAAACTTAGTTTACAGTGTGCATTCGTTACAGCACCTCCCTGACGACGTTCGTGCACATGGACCTTTAGATAGTTTTTCAGCCTTTCCATTCGAGTCTTATATGAGAAAAATTAAGGATTCCGTGCGTAGTGGGTTTGCAGTAGCTAAGCAAGCAGCACAGCGTTATGCTGAGAGAATGTCCTTCAGCGATAGGCTTCAAATTAGTGGTTTAACAAATACTACCCCAATAGGCGCTAATGATGTCTCCACTAAACAAGTAATTATGTTTAACAACAGTAAAATAACTTCATGTCAGCCTGATAATGTAGTAGTAGTGAACGGCCAGCCAGGTTTAGTCACTGATATAAAGGAGGATGGACTACTAAAATTTAGGACTTTCACTGACCCACGCAATTACTTTGAAGATCCTTTCCCATCTAGTGATATTGGAATCTTTATGTGCTCCGTAGTTAGCCACGAATACACCTGGGTATCGGTTCAGGACATTGATTGTAAATGTATAGCCATCAATTGTATCAATTATATAGTTGTAATTCCATTGTTGCATACTTTATTGTAAATGCATTTTGTTTCATTAGTGTTTAAGTAATGATGATAAATCATTTACTTACGTCTTATGTTTTTTTCAGCCCACTAACAAGAAATACGTTATTGTTGACGTCCTAAAAAAAACAACTTATGATAGCATCAAAGGACTGGATAGTTGGCAATGACCTTTGCCTTCTTCCGAACGAGCTGGTCGATATACACCTGCAGAAGTGCGACCAACCGAATGAAAATTGGTCACTTATGAAATGTAAAGTGATTCACGAATTAGGTAGGTACATACACAGAAAGTATAATTCACTATAGATTCTCTGCAGTCGGCAAAAGATCTGTTAGTTGCCCTACAGATACTGGAATGTCAACGGAAAAACACCTCTACGGATGAAAACACTTTGCCACTTAACACTGAGAAGCCAAAGAGGTCTGTACAATAATCTTACTTACATTTCCTAGAGGTGTAATGAAGCGTAAAGAAGATTTTCTTTACAATTCAGTCGACATGGATGTGGCTGAGATGCAGGCTGGGAATAGCCGCGTACAATATCCCAAATTCCGTGTTTTCGACAAAGTGATATCGCCAATCGCCAAGTACGTTTAATTACTATTTAGATATTCACTATTTAGTTCAACACAATTAGAGACATCAACATCCACATCCGAATGTAAGCATGTTGGTGGCGCTGTATTGGACCAGTAAGTAACCTGCATCATCTAGTGACCTTTTTCAACTGTGATAAGTTGTATACTGTGGTGCTGAACATGTCGTCAGCTATCAATGACTTGACTAAAACGATTAACAACATATCGTCCGCCATTATAGACTTGAATGTTAATGTAAACCAATTGCTTTCAAAGTCTAATGAGCGCGAAAGACCGCATCAATTCGATTGCGGACTGTCAAGTCAGCAGTTCCCTTTGTCATCTGAAGAGGAACTACAGATGCTAGATACTGGTTTGTCGCAGAAAGAAACCAGGGACAGATTTGTAAGTCATTTACATGAATTTAATAATTTGTTACTATTACAGATGGCAATGGTCA